CAAGTGTGCTGTTGTGAATGAATTGTGTTTGTGTGTGTGTGTGTGTGTGTGTGTGTGTGTGTGTGTGTGTGTTAGTGAATGCATCCGCATGCGTTCAGTCCCCACTGCTGAAGAATGAGAGCGATTCTAAAGAACGGAAGTGAACCGACCATTTTGAAACCCCGCACCGCTTAGGTAAGATGGGAGATTCTTTTCCTCTCTATATGTTTATGTTTTAAGTAATTCCTTAATGTGTCATATAGGATCAGTAGTTAACGACGGCCGATGCAAAGCGGGATGATATAGACGAGCTCGCGGTGTGATTTATAGAGAAACGCAAAGGGTTTGGTGCGCGAGCTCGGGGACACCCAAAAAAAAAAATCCCTACAAAATGAGTCATCTAGAGATTTCAGCTGGAAAGAATAAATAACAAATACGCACATGTATGTAATGGATATACAAAACTACATAGCGGACGTCGGTGGTGTCGATGACGGAAGCGTTCTGGAGTGTTTTGTAAACATCTGGTGTCAGAAATGTTACATTCAGTAAATCACTCGGCACGCGCTACTCTTGTTGAAGCCGAAGCGCTATGAAGAGATCTGCGAGTCGGCGTTTCTCACACATTTCGTCCGAGTGGTCGTTTAAATGGGGTTCGCGCAGTTTTCAGGGTTGCATTTAAACAGTTATCATCTAAAGAGACGTTTGTTTGTTTGTTTGTTCCGTGAGCTCTACACTGAGGAAGTGAACGTGTTTACTCTGCGTGCACTGCGTCACTAGATTGCTATGGCTTTGTGACGGCAGATAATTCATTTGATCTATGCTGAATACACGTTTCCTTGATGTTTTACGCGTGCTGAATAATTTGCTTTTACGTTGTTAATGTGATAGGACTGAGTTTAATGAGGTGTGATATGTATGATATGTCATCAGGACTTTTATTTGTTTGTCACACATAAAACTTATAATTAAGACAATATGTTGTTTTTACTAGGGTCCAATTTTTTATTAACTGTTATTACCTCTCCCTGCATGTGTAAATGTATTTCTCTTCCCTATTAATGGGAGATAAAACTAACTAAAAAGTACAAAACAATGGTACTGTTGTTATTTTGGGCGGGCACTGTCTGTAAACCATGGTACCTTGGTACTGCATGAATCAGATTACTATAGTACTATGCTTCAGAGTACTATAGTACTGTGATCAAATAATATTTAATATCTGATTATATAATTGTACCATGGTACAGCCACATTTTTGTAAGAGAATTGTATACATTTCACAAAAACCTAGGGTTTAATTCCCTGTGGGGGGACATACATGGACAACGACTACAACATTTCTGAATGATAAACCCACATTACCTAAACAAAGTCATGATGCACTATTAATTAAATTAACAGTGAACAGCATTATAAAAACACACAGTATGTCTTACCTTATTGCATAAGTCAAGTCTAGTGAAGTCACTACTATTTATATAGCGCTTTTTACAATACAGATTGTGTCAAAGCAGCTTGATGCAACAAACTGCGACAGCGCACACTCCACACAGAAAATGATTAAGAATTACTTTTGCAATAATGCATACATTTATATGATTTAAAAAAAAAACTACCATTATGATCTCTACGTTGTCAAAATAATAAAAGAAACATTTTAATGACCAAAACACAGGTAAAAACGGCGCTAACCACAATCTTGAAGCAGGATCCAATCAGAGAAGTCACCGTTATCATAACAGCAGTGCTTATCGTGACAGATGAGCCATAAATTGTCATTATTAGGAACCTCGACCTAGCAATGTTCAGGTCTGTTCTCCTAAAAATATGTGGATTATTTTTAACGAGCATCATCAAACAATTTCGTCTGAACTCTTAATGCTAGTGTATGACAACTGCTATATTCTCAAAAAGTAAAATACTTGGAAAAAGTCCGCACGTTCTCAAAAAACAACAACAACAACAAAAAAAGATTGTTAGCTTGGCATTGAAAATGGTCAACATGTGACCGAAACATTTGCCTTGTTTTTTTTTCCAGTAAATTGCTTACACTGCTTTCATCTCGCTTGTGACTTTTTGATTTTTGAGTGTGCGCGGACTTTTTTCAAGTTTTTTACTTTCTGGGAAACTTTTTTGGTCTATGCACCTCGGTTGGATTGTTTTGAAGGCGTGGTGAGTCTCTGGCTGATTAACTGCTAGATTCTGCCATACGCAAATATGCCATACACCCCTGGAATTGTGTACCCTTCACTTTTCAAATTGTACGTACACATTTATATGTCCTTGTCTGATATGTCAGTTATTAAAATAACATCTTTCACTCATTTCAGCACTATGGATAAGGGCCACACGGTTAAGCTCTTCGTAGGGAATCTGGCCCTTGAAACCACGCAAGAAGAACTGTCAGCCATCTTTGAGTCGTATGGCCAGGTGGTTAGCTGCAGCGTCTTGAGACAGTTTGCTTTTGTACACTTGCAAGGAGAGGGTGCTGCTGAGCGTGCCATCCAAGAGCTCAATGGCCGAGAGTTCAAAGGACGCAACCTTGTGGTCGAGGAGTCCCGAGGACGCCCGCTCCACTCGACGAAGGTGTTTGTGGGTAATCTGAGTAGTATGTGCACCACAGAAGATCTTCGGGAGCTGTTTCAGACCTTTGGCAAAGTTTTGGAGTGCGATAAGGTGAAAGGTAAGAGAGTATTAAGTCGCTGCTGAAACTGAACGCAAAAGTAGCCAGCCCTGCTCCTGGAGGGCTACAATCCTGCAGAGTTTAGCTTTAACTCTAATCAAATTAGGGATGCAATGACACCATTTTTTCAGAAACAACTCGATCCGATACCGAAAATTCTGAATATCTACAGATCCGATATGAGCACAGTTTTTTTTAAATCAATGTAGATTTTCTATACTTCTGTGTGTTGATCTGATCATCACTCTTTTGTGTGTTAAACACAATATGCTAAATATAGACAACTTCATTTTAATGAAAAATAACAAATGGAAAAATATATAAAATCACAATCTATGACAAAAATACTATTATAAACTAGGTTAGTGGATAATTCAGCAGCTAAAGATACTCTAGAAAAATCATGAGCGCAATCTGGTAAAGTGTTACAAATTGCCCTTTGTATTGTAAAATCCATTCATGAAAAACAAGTAAATATATATACTATAAAATTAAAAACATTTATTTTAAATGTATAGCACAGTAATGAAGGCAGCAACATATAATAGATAGGACAGAGCAAGAAAGACTATTAATAATCTTTTATTGCACAAAAGTATTATAATATGAAAGGCTTCAATACAGAGCAGCACAAATGCACATCCCGTGTGCAGAATGATGTACTCAAAGCAACACGGAGTCGCAGCGCTCCGCATAGAAAAGTTCAAAGCACAAAGGAAAGAGATATTGATGCGTAGTTGTGCAATAGTTTGAGCCTTTTCTTTAACCAGTTTTAAATCTCAGTTATTGTGCGCTCTTGAGTAGAGTAACTGAATGGAGGATGACAGACAGCTGCAGTGGAGAGAAGAATTTACGTGAACTTGAATTTAACGACTTAAATATTCATCTGTACCTCACAGTGAACAATGGAACAGCTTCAGATCACTTCAAATATAGTGCATCAAAACTTTATGGTGCTTTATAATGTTTTTGTGCCTTTCGTGGGACCAAACAATAACACAGAATAGTATACGCACAATATCTGATCGGTCTCGTCTGACCGATACCTGATCCGGCAGAAAATGCCAGTATCGGAGCCGATATCGAGACTGAGTATCGGATCGATGCATCCCCAAATCAAACATATCTGAACCAGCTATTTAAAGGTGTTCAGGTTTACGGGAAAATAAGAGGCAGATGTGTTGGAACAAGTTAGCTCTCCAGGGCGAGGTTGGCTACTCTTAATTTAAACTGGGTGTTAGAGCTCATGCAGGGTACCACACAGTTCTGCACTATTCTAACATTTACTAGCCGGGACCCCATAATAATAAAGTTGTGTTCTTGTGAAGGTTATGCCTTTGTCCACATGGAGAACAAGGAGGATGCGCTGCAGGCAATTGAGGCTTTGCATGGGACCTCCTTCAAAGGACGACCGCTCTCTGTGGAGCTGTCCAAAGTTCAGCCAAGTAAGCAGGCTCCAACTGGGAAAATCCCGTGTGTCTGTTGTGGAAAACAGGGCCATTATGCAGGTGAATGCCCAGCTGGTAAACCCACCCTAGAGCAGTACCAGAGCCAAGCGGCCGTGTTAGCCGCCGCCGCCGCTGCAGCTGCTGGCCTTCCACTGCAGGTTCAACAGAGTGTCCACAATTCTGTGTACAACACCTCAACGTTTGACCCCACGTATGCTGCTTTGACTGGACTTACAGCTGCTGGTGCGAGGGCGGAAGGAGGAACCGCCGTGGCGCCAGCTGTGTACGGTGCACTAGCTAGTCAATTGTACGGGACGGTTTCCAATCAGCTGTACGGTGGGACACTTGCAAATCAGGCACTCAACTCTGGTGCTGCTGCAGCTGCCACACAGGTGTACGGCTCCATTAACCCAGCTCTCTATGGGCAGGTGACAAACGGAGCAGTTGGAGCTGCATACAGTCCACAAGTTTACACATCCGCTGTAGCGAATCCAATGTTCCTAGCTGCAGCGCACAGCATGGAGGTACCGACCGCTGCTGCGGTTAACCCAGCTTATACAGTAGCACCAGCTCTCTACACCGCTTCCCCGGCCTACGGGGGTTTTGGGGCAGCTGACCCAGCAGCTATCTTTGAGGCAGCAAGGGCGCACTACTTTGCACAAGGACAGCAAGTTCTAGCTGAACAGCAACAGGCTAGCTCAAAGTCTGGAGAGAGGGACCGGAGTCCGCTAAGAAGATCTGCTCCGCTGCTGCCAGACCCTGTTATGAAACCATTTATGTACCAGAGGGCCAAGCGCAGAGCATTGTTGCCTACACCTGCGGGTCGAGAGGAAGCCGCTGCACAGGAGGATGACGCTGTAGCCAGGTGAGTTGATTGCAGTAAAACAGACACAATCAGGGCCGGATTTACCTCTTATCGTGACATAGGCAAAACAAATTTTTGCCCCCCCCCTTCCCTAGTAATATATAATATTACCACCCCAGCAAAACAAAAATATTTCACAATCAGTGGAAACCATTACAGAGTTTTCTATTGCAATAAGCACTTGTGTTCAGTCAATAAAGATTGAAAGTAGTTCTTAATTTGAGAACGGAGAAAGACCGTTCTATTAATAGGCTCCGGTGCCATGGCCACATCACGCATTATTGCATATAATTGCATTAGTGCGTTATTTCTCTAATAATTTTAATGGCCTGGAGTAACATCCACACCTCAAGACATAGTTCAGATGATTTATTTCAAGACATTTGTCATGTTTCCGTCCTGAAATCTCGTGTGAGTTGAACTAATTTCTTACGCACCTCATCCCAAACCTTCCATAGCAAATTCCAAAACGTCAGTTTAGAGCTAATAACAGAGGCTTGAGCCACTGATATCCAGGCTAATGCAGTTATTAGAGAGAGAGATTAAGCAGCGTCTACTAATAGCAAATCTTTAAGTTGAACTGCTTCAAGAACCTCGCTACTAAGAAATGTCATGTAGCTTTTCAGCTGCGAAACAATTTTATTGATAAATTCGCAGGGCAGCGCTGGGAACAAGTTTCTGTTCGCGTCTCCGCGTGTGTGCGTCTGTGTACGAGAGAACGGGAGAAAGATTGTGTGATTTCCGTACATAAAAGATTACTGTTGTAGATAGCCCATAGCATATCAAAAATGTTATATATCTCTTCATTGTGTTTGGTCCCCCCTGGACAAGCGAGCATAGGCACGTGCCGTAAATCCGGCCCTGGACACAATACATGATTACAGCAGAAGTTTGTCAATTTTCAAAAGTTGGCTGTTTTATTACCGATTTACAGTGGCGGTGATGTGTGTGTGTGGGTTTGCGTGTAAATGTGTTTCTGTGTTTGTTTCTCTCCCTGTCCAATGGTGTGTATATGTATATGTATGTATGTGTATATATATATATATATATACCCCGAACTCGCCCTACACACCCCTGAAACACCCTTCCGCTAGTGTGCTCCACGTCCTCTCTGCCTCTCCTTTCCTTGTGCTGCGTGTGTGTGCGTGTTAGAAAGAAGCCACAGGTGTATGTTTATGACGTGTGCGTGCTTGGGTTTAAGACGGTGGCTGTGTCGGTTTGAACTACAGACTGGAGCCTCTAACCTTGGTTCTGATCTCACACACACACCCAGTGTAGTCAGGGCTGAAAAGGGAAAACTGCATGCTCTCATTCCTGCACACGTAACCAATGTAACACATTGTCTGTTTAAAGAAACCTTCAATCTATTGCCAATTAGTTTTTAAGAGTAGATTAGGCACTAGCCACGATGCTTTTTAACTTTTATATTCCTAAGTGTTTGTAGTCTATGAATGAATACTGGACTTGATATTTTTAAATACTGCTTGATTAGTTATATGAACTTAACCAGTTTACGCATTCATATAGTTAAGACATTTAGATTTCGATGCATTACAAAAATGTTGAAATAAGTTGAATGTATGTTTACTCCAAAGGTGTGTGAAGTGTAGGACCAGGGTTGGACAGTATTTTATGTGTCTTTGTGTGTGTGTGTGTGTTTCTTGTTTTTCTCTGGGACTGTGGTGTAGCGTGTATGCTTTCCATTGGTTGTCACGACAGGAATGCACACGTGCACAGGGAAGCGACCTCGATCCACACGCACATACATACGCATCCCTTAAAACCTCAGAAGGGAGAAACTTTAGTGATGACCTTTAACCCCACCCTTCCATCCCTGTCCACCCATCCTGAAAGCTGAAAGACACTGTGACTTCTCTCCCCTCCAACTTTAATGTAGCTACTTCCATAGATATGGTGATGTATGGGAAGCAACCAATCAGAGGAAGGTGTAGCTAGTCAGCTTTTGCTGGGATCTGTCTTACGGGAGCGTCTCTGAGCTCGCCAACTTAACTGCCAGGATGCATTGTAGAATCTGTTTTTTGTAAAGTGTTTTTTATTAATGCTATCGTGTTTTTATAAACAGTGATAAGGGACTCAATTATCCATTTAAAGAGACGTACTCCTTTTAATTTTTAACTTTTGTTTACAGCTGCAAGAGAGAGAACATGTTCCTTTTTTGCAGTGATTGTTTATAGCCAAAATTCTTTTTTTCTAGAAAAACAGCCAAAATCATGAGTGGCCTACGATTCTTATGCCTTAGTAGTGAAATGTATTAAAGTTTTGCTTTGTTTTGTTTTTTTTAATCTGTAGTCTTATAAAGTGAAACTGGATTAAGGCTACACGAAAGTGCTGTATATTCTGTGGTGCTGTGATTTTGGATTAAATGAATTGGGAGATTCATATCAGTTTCTTTCAGTCTTCCTGCTCATTTCGCTGCTGCAACTCCATAGATGACCCTCACTGCATCTCTCTCCAACTCTCTTTGCATCTGCCTCTCATTTAGTGACAGTATTTCATTCATTTACCATGCCCCTGTTCGCACCTATGTGCTGAGGATGCCAGTGTGTGAATGTGAATGTGACCTTAGAAAACATTTTGCATCGACATTCATGTTTGTAGTTTCTATCACGGTAACTATTCTTGCCGCAAGTGTTCTCAGAAGAGAAGACTTTAAAGATCTGTACAGGATCTTTACGACTATAACAAGCCTTCAAATAAAAAGCCTGCCTGATCATTTAAAGAGGGAACTCAAGAGCTTTTGCTTGGAGCTTTAGCTGTTCTTGCCTTTTGATGTTTCATGATTGTTTTTCCTTTGTGAAACGAGCAGACTTGTATGAATCGGAGCCCTGAAAAGAAGCTAAAGGACTAGAGACTGATCCCAATCTCACCCCTGTCTCTATGGATGGGGTAAGTCTAGGGGCAACCCCACTCTATACCCCACAGCTGCACACACCATACCAAACCCCTTCCCCAGGAGCAGCAAAATCTTCGACCCAGCTTTTGGTACTTTTTAACCACCCATAGTCCCCATGCAGTTTCTTTAACTCTTTAACTGGAGTGTGCTTCAATGATGACTATCCTTGACATGCTTTTATGATGCAAGCATATTGTAAAACATGTTTATGTGTGAGTGTCAGGAGGCACCCACACTGTAAAACTTTTCTGCATTTCCTTTAGTTGTACGTGATGGGGCTGCAATTGTAAATTCAAGATCTCTCCCACAAGGCTTCGCTCACTTCTGCTTCCATTGTGCATGCTTCTTTTTTTTTCTTGTTTTCACCCCCAAAAACAAAGATTTCTGATGTGACTGTTCCAACTGAACTAGGTCCCTATGGAACTGTGGACACCAAACGCAGAGCTGGTTTGGGGGGAAGAAAGTTAGCGTCGCGCAGTGTACAGGAAACTCTTTCACTCCATACAGGTAAACGCACTGTGCCTCGCCCCCTTTCTACCTGTCATCCTCCCCGATAGCACTTGCGCCTGACCGTGTATCCACTCTATTTCTCCTCACCACCACCCCACCCCTCTTGTAGATTCCTTACTTCTCGTCACCACTGCCATAGCCAATTGGTTCTCTAAACACCAGTGTTATGCTACTCTGTCACTGCCAAAAGGGGGCGGCGGGGGTGACCGTTTACTGCTTCTGTGGTTAGTGTGTGTCGGTAATGGGTGGGTGCTTGGTGCTCCTATAACTGATGTGTTGGTTTAGCTTCGGAGAGAGTGTGGTGATAATGTGTCCGTAAGCAACTGAGTGAGTGGACTTGCTGGTCAATGATTGAAAGACTGCGTAAAATGAGTGTTAAAACAAGTTTGCAAGGGTGGCTGATAAAGGTGTGTGACAAAGGTGAGTGATTGTGCATCAGTATCGTCGACCTCACCTGGCCCCCCGTCTCCATGTGCCTTTTTTTTGTTTGTTTATTTGATTTAACCCTTGCCCCCAGGCTTCCTCGAGTCTACTCGCCGTTAATGCCCAGCTCACCGCCGCCCTCGTCGCATCCCCAGTGCTAGTTATTACGTTTGTTCAGTGTTAACCACTGCTTGAACGCATCCGCAAAAGCTCTGTGACTGGACCTGAGACACTGGCCAACATTTTATTCGCAAGACTCTCATTTGGGCTCAGTGACACTGGAAACCCTTATCAAGCAGTGCTTGACTGTGATGCACTGCTCCGCCGTAAACCAACAAGGCATTCTTATCATAAACATATGCTTTTGTTTCCTAAATTGACAACAATTCTTGAGCAGAAGCTTAGTTATAGTCATACCAAACAGTTACCAAATTTGGTTTTTGTTTGTCAGATGAAAAGACATTATTTTAGGAGTTAATCTGAAAGCTACCTTGTGTTACCTGTTCAAATGAGAGTTTGTTATAATGTTTGTGTTTGAAATAGCTGAATGTATAAGTAGGTGGCACAGATTTAGATCGCCTACCTGGTTAAATTACATAGCCGGTAGAGGAATGTCCTAGAAAACAAGCAGCTTCAGCTGGGGAAAAAAAAGACTGCTGAACCTGAGCTGCCGGAGGGATACTTACAGGACCTTTCCTCCAGAGGGAGCATGGTAGTGAAGTGTGGCTTATTTCACTAGAAGGTGCTGTTGTTCTTGATTTTTTCTGATGATGATGATATAGCATCTTCCCATACATTGTCACACACATCTGCATTGCTTCTTGTCTATAGTGTCTGTTTAACTTTGCCTGTAGGAATGAGGGGAAAAGGACAAGATGACCTCAGTTTTAGATCTTATTCTGGAGGAAAAGGAACTGTTCGTTACCTGAAATAAGATGTCTCTTATGCCAGAGACAGAGTAGTAGCTGGTACTCCCAATGTTAGCGGTATTAAGATCTTTGGCTTGCAGATATTTGCGGTTGACAGATTTCCATGATGTTCGTAGCATCCGTTAATGATGACAGGTGTCTGCGGCAGATAGTTATCACTGGTTTTTGAGAAGAGCCTTCTATACAGAATTTTGGTTCTTAAACATGGTTCTTGGTTCGTAAACAAATCACTTACCTCCTTCTCAGACTTGCTCTTCCAGCTTAAGTCTCTTTGAACCTAGATGATACGCTCTTTCTGTCCACTTCCTCTCTAGATATCGTCGACCTTCTTGTTTAAACTGGACAATAACAATAACACAACCTCTCTTGTTTGAATCCTGTTATATTTAGAAAACTTCAGTATTTTATTGTTTTAAATTTTTCTTTTTTTCCCCCTCTCTGATTCTTTATAAGGATATCCCCTACCAGAGCATGTGAGCGGAGCGGGGAGCGGAGTGGTAATATTTCCTTAAGAGCGCAGAGCGCCTTTCTGAAGATTCTGCTCCGCTCGCTCAATACGCTCAGCGCCGCTCGCTCAACCCAGAATGCCGTTTGGTGATTTGCTTGTTCGAGATCGAGAATCTGTAGAGATCGAGAATAGTAGAGCAGTTATGGAGTTCAGATATTGTTTCAACGAAGTTGCAAGCCTTATACATAAATGTAAAGTAAAAATCAAAGTTAAGAATGAGCAGGGAGAAGAAACTGAGAGGGAGTGCGGGGAGACTGTTAAAGTTAGTACAGATTCATATTGATTACAGAGAGCACGAAGATGTGCTACGCAAACATGGTGCAGCAAAAGGTGAGCTAGTTACATACCATAATAAATGAATAAACAGGTAGGCTAAGGTTATATTCGGTTGTACGGAGCCCCCGATCATGACATGCAGACAAAATCACGGCCACGAATTTAGAATAGGCTAGTTCTCTTTTATGCTAGGACTACATTATGGCCACGAATTAAGAATTAATTTTTTCGTTTAGTCTAAATTATGGCCACGAATTAAGTATTCGTTCTCTTGTTTAGACTTAGCTGGCACGAATTCATTCGTTCGTTAATTCGTTCATTCCCTAGTTTTAGTAGGCCTAAATCGTGGAACGAATTATTATATTTCGTAATTACTTATTAAAATCATTATTGCTTAAAATTAATAAATAATAATAAATTAATAAAAAACAGAGAGCACGAAGATGTGCTACGCAAACATGGTGCAGCAAAAGGTGAGCTAGTTACATACCATAATAAATGAATAAACAGGTAGGCTAAGGTTATATTCGGTTGTACGGAGCCCCGATCATGACATGCAGACAAAATCATGGCCACGAATTTAGAATAGGCTAGTTGTCTTTTATGCTAGGACTACATTATGGCCACGAATTAAGAATTAATTTTTTCGTTTAGTCTAAATTATGGCCACGAATTAAGTATTCGTTCTCTTGTTTAGACTTAGCTGGCACGAATTCATTCGTTCGTTAATTCGTTCATTCCCTAGTTTTAGTAGGCCTAAATCGTGGAACGAATTATTATATTTCGTAATTACTTATTAAAATCATTATTGCTTAAAATTAATAAATAATAATAAATTAATAAAAAAAAATAATAAAACCTGCTGACGTCGTAGAAATTAATTGTTAATTCAAATTATATTCGGAGCTCTGTAGTTATTAAATAATCTCAGTTAAACTGTAGACCTAAGCTAACACACAGCTGTATATAGGCCTAAATACAGAACTACAGAGTACAGAAGATATTAGCCTACACCACTTAGGCCTATTAAAATATTATTTTTAAAAAAACTGACCCGAACTAATAGGTAGTCCTACAGAATGTAGGCTAGATATAGGCAGCAGTAATTTATAATCTAATATAATGCACGCAAATTTGTTCTTTACAGAACGGAGCGGGATCTGAGCGGGAATTGGTTTACGGCAAGCGTGAGCGGAATATTAACGGAGCGCTTGCTTGGGCGGTTAGAGCGACTGAGTGGAGCGCACGTCCATAGAGCGGAAAACGTAGCGGAGCGTCACACCGCTCCGCTTCGCTCACATGCTCTGTCCCCTATTGAGTGAAAAGCCTACTCCAGTACTTTTGAAAGTCAAAGTGCATAATTTTTTATAATTCATGTATGAAACGAGAATAATTTGCAGGAGATAGGATGTGAGCTGGTCGTAATGTTTTTATCACCTTCTAATGAATATATGCATGCTTTGTTAATGTGTGTATATTGCAAAAACCTTGCGACTGGTAAAGTGTACTCTCCTACACCAGCTTCTGCATGAACACTGTTTGGCATCGCATGCTTACTGCAATAAACTAGAACTATGACAGAATACGCTATGTTGTGCTCATTTACTTGTCATCAATTTAAAGTAAGAATGATTTAATTTTCTTTTTTTTAATAAGTAAATGATTGCATACACTCAATCTCTTAATGTTGTATTCTTAAATAATATTTTACATTTTTCCATAAGACTTTTTTTTTCTTGAAATGGGTCTTCTATATTTCTTCTAACAGAAAGAGACAAATACTTGTCTCTATTTGTTTTAAATATAAAAGAAGCACTATTGTGTGTAGTAAGCATTGCATGTATAGAGATGTTACAGGCATTACTATTTATTAAGAGGGAGACAATCAGGGATTTTAACAGGCCTGGGATCTGCTTGTGCACCTATTTTCAATCCATAGCAGTCAGCTGGTTGTCGTTTCAACTGGCCCCAGAACTGCCGCTTGGGTAAGTAGATATAGACTACTGCCAAGGACAACAGGTGTTAGCAAAGTGGAGGGCACCAGGAGGCGTGTATGAGATAATTCCCTGCCCTACACTAAAAGAGCTACCAGTTATTGGTCCCAGTGCACAGTGTGACCCGCCTCTCACACCTTTTAGGTAGCATAACCCAACACCCACACAACCAGATCTCTTATTTATTGGGGTGCAGTCACGTGTGCTACTTTTGACCAGGACAGGAGCACTGGGCAGCAGAAGTTCTGCTCGCACCTCCACACAGGCACCTCAGACGAGTGGAGTCTGGCCTCTTCCTCCACGGTCATACACGTACACACTGAGCGGGTGTTCTCCTCTAACGCACGGACAGGATTTCGAGTTCACGATCTAGAGTGCAAGGCACGTAACTTCTAATATTAAGAGTTAGAGGGAAAAGTGTAAAAGATGACGACTGTTATTGAGACGCAGGTGCAGTATAACACCTACATGATGTCTACGGAAGACTACATGACTCAGGAGGATGACTGGGACAGGGACCTTCTGCTGGACCCTGCCTGGGAGAAACAGCAGAGAAAGGTATGTTCGTATGACTGCTGAACATCACTGCCACACAATCAAGTCACTTTGAGGGGGCAAGATTTATTTATTTTTGGGTTTTTTTGCATTTGTGTTATATTACTTGGCAAGATTCCACCAAAATTCAATGGTTACTAGTTATTTCGATAACTAAAAATAACAATTCTTAAAGTTTTTTTTTTATACAGTTTGTATCACTGTATGCAAATAGTAGTTATACGTGTTGTAGTTTTGGAGTAAATGATGGCTACCATGTTAAATGTTTTTTTAATTATACCCAATTACATTTACTGTGGTAACCTTTGGCTAAAATTCTGTATAGTCACTACAGTATTTATTACAATATGGTCAAAAAATAACGAAACTAAAACTACTCAAACTGCTTTAATGAAATCCTGTATTTTTTTTCTCCTTTTCATTTACCATAGTAAGGATAGCTCTTTCACTATAGTAAGACTGGCTGTAGCGACTGGTATCGCAACGGAATTTATGATTACCCTAACAAATTTGAAGAAAGGAAATCGTACTGAACATACTATACAACGCTTGGTTACGATTTAAACAATATTTTTACTATCGTTTCGAGCTGACAAGCGAGTTTACGTGTTGTACAGCTGTTGGTTCCATTCGCAGTTTTCCTCCGTGTTGTCTTACCACATCCCCGCCCTCATTAAATTTGTGCCTAATTTTAATCAGTCTTTATGTGTTATATGAGTCTATAAAACCGTATTACTAATCGCTTTACGGAACACGGATACTGTTTTAGACAATCGTTGCATTTCCAGAGTTGTAAATTACCTCAGAAAAGCGCGCGTAATTCTAATGCGTTATGTGAAAACACGTAGCCTACTCTTTAAACTTACCTGTGCTTTAAACGGACAAATAGTCGCTCTTTAGAGTCAAAACTCGGGCTTTTCTGTGTGAAGGCAGAGAAGTTAGGTTAACAAGACGTTTTTGAAGATCATCTGGTTGACAGGAATGACAGGTGACGTTTAATAGCCGTCAGTGGAGCTCGTGCCACGGTCTGAGGTGACGTCAGCCAAGAACAACTGGTTGATCTCTGCAAACCACAGATTCGAGGTGTCAAGCTCAGATATGTCTGATCAAGACAGAAAAGACTCTTTGAATTCTTAAGTTGCATTGTATATCAGATGCTAATATTTTTGAGAAAATTGTCATATGGTCACTTCTGGTTTAGGAAGCTATGTTTAGACATGGTTTAATATCTATTGATATCGGTACATGTATATTTTAAGAAGAACATAACCATTAGTTTTAAATGTTTTGAATGTTTTATTGGGGGGGCGGGGGGCGGGGAATGTGTTTTTGCAAGACGTGGCCTTAATCATAATGTAGAAAAAGCATTGCATGTGTTGGCTAGACCTGACAAAGCTGAAAGACTTCAACAGATGGTGTGAGAGCAAGAGAAGTGCAAGGAGGGTTCATTTCAGTCTGTGAATAAACATGTCCTAAAAATACTCCTGAACCTTGCCGCCCCATCTCCCGTGCTGCTGCCTCGTTCCCTCCATTCTTAAGACCTTTTCTGAGCTCCTTTGCCTGTGCAGTTGCTCCCTCTGTATTTGATAGCTAGCAAAAAACGGCACCATGTCAATTGTCACTATTTTAATGGCGCACATTTTTAAGATTCAAACGGTGGTGTTCCATAGCCATCACCTCCAATGGTGTAAACCATAGACTTTACATTCGTCAATACCTCCCGCTTCTCAACTAAAAAAAGAAAAGGTGAAGTTTAAGAGGCTAGTCACTTTTTTCCATTTGTTTAAGCAAAATGGTTATGGAGTGATATTTCTCATGGGCCCCTCTAGCGCCACCTGGATGATCTGTGACTTTTTTTTACTAATTTTTCAAATGTTAAAGACAATTGAGTTAATGCCAATTGATTACATGAAGCTAAGCTAATATAAGTTCTTAACTTGATCTTGTTGCAGTGATAAAAGGCTTCAAATCAGGTTGTTAGATGGGTTTCAGACTTGAGTACAGAGGGTCTTTAAACATCCTCAGGCATGTAAGATCAGCATAAGGAGCTGATATCACAGCGTAAATATAGAAAGTGCATCATTTTGCAATGAAACGAATATGGGGGTTGCTTGGGTGTGGAGGTTCTGCACCTGTTCTAGCTCCACTGTGCTCTTATACAGAAGTACCAGTAATAAAGTGATTGTCAACATCCTGTTTCATCTGATATCTGTCAAAAGGCAGCAGAAAATAGATAAATCGTTTCTGAGCACCGCTGTGCTGTTGACTAGTAAATTCTGAGTTTAAATTCTCTCACAATCTGGCTTAAAATAACTGATATCATGCTGCCCGCTAGCCTAATGGCTGCATTAGTATCTATGTCAGAAAGAATAAATCAGTGGAAAGAGTCTTAGTGCTGCCACCTAGAGGAGTATAGAGATATTGGAAATCTCCCAAATCAAAAAATAAAAATTTTATTACAAATAGTGAAACATTTCAATGAGATCTTCTGCGTTCTAAGACATCAGTTTGTTGTTGTTGCTGCAGCTAAGCTATTGCTAATGTAGCTAAACTGTCAACTTCAATGTTAAGTTTTATACCCATCCTTGCTATATTTACCTAGGAATTTCTTGAAAGATTGATGTTGTGGCAACTTGTGAATTTGCATTGTTTTTTGTTTTTTTTTGCCTATAGGACAGGACAATATAGTAAAAATTTATATTTGTGATTGCTTTGTTGGAAATATAGCAACATTTTGAGTGTCATGGCTTGAGTTTCATTTGTCCGGTTAAGTCTCTTAACGATATGAGTTTATATGGGATGATTAGCTACTATAGATTTATTTACTCGAAATCCTCACATGGCATTTTACATTTTAAGACACTTCCGTGCAACAAAAATGGCATTAATGTTGATAATGACTTTTTATTGTTATTGATATCGGTACATAAATAAATGTCATGGTATATTGTTTTAATTTAGTGGAAAATACAAATTACAGTTCCACTGACTGAAAAGAAACATTGTAACAAATTTCACAGCAAATATATGAGGTGATTGATTAATATCATTAAAAAGTGTAAACGTATGTCAATTTTAAGACAATTTAAAAAAATATTTTGCTGCTGTTTGGAGGGCAGAAGTTTCTATATATACACACATTACCGTGACCTTGAAATGATTTTTTACTTGCATCAAGATGTAAACAATACCCACACATACAACACAGCGAGACGAGATTCTAGTCACACTATAAAACAGGGAGATATAAATACCCTTTACGCAAGTCTGCTCAAGATCCTTATTTGCTAACAAACGGTTATTCATGAGGGAAAAGTCATCGCTGATCAAATTAAGTTGACATCTGTTCTCTGTGGTGTGAAGTCGCTGCTTTCTGCCAGTCATTTTTTGTGAGGGCCGCTTCTACTTCTGTCGCTGAGTTGAGTTACAATGTTTCCGTTGCTTCTGAGTGTGAACTGATCTATTGGTCAAGGCTTAGATATCAAGAGGACATGGCAGTCGTTCTCAATGCCAAAATTCATTGGCACACTTTGCGTTTAGATCAGATTTAGATTGTCGACATTTGCGTAGAAATCCGTTTGACTTGACTTTGCACAATTAGTCTTTTTCTTAACGACTCGCTATATGATTTACAGGACATTTAGCAAAACTATTTTATTTTTAAATGTGTTTTCAGGGAAATATGAGCCAGTTTGCATATCCCCATTCGTCACTACTACATTTGAATGGATTTTATATCATTTGAATTGTTTTTAATGATTGGATGTAGGTTGACATGAAAATATCAAGCTTTCACTGCCTGCGCTAAAACAAATTTAGTGTGAAAACAATTTTCATTTAGAAATTGCGCTAGTAAATTACAGAAATAATAGTAATTTCTTTAAAAGAAATGGCAAGTAATGCATTGAATTAAACATTAAATTTTGACGTAGAAAGACCTAAATCATTTTTTTTTTTTCAATAATCTTTTATTTATTTATAACTTCTTATATATGCATATCTCCTGAGTCCTTTGAATACTTAAATATAGGGGTCATTTTCAGAAAATGCAAAAAATATTTTTGAAAAAAAAAACATGATATTTAAGATAATATTTTAGATTCTCAGTATTGTGAGATTTTGTGCTGTGGTATGTAACGACCTCTCATATAACTGGATTTATTTACAGTATGTGAAGAGTCAAACATATAAAAGGGATCATTTTACTAATACAATTACTTGTATTACTCTGACATTGTGTATGTTATTTTTTTTTGTTATTTTCATTGTTACTTAAATTGTGTTTCAAAAAGTTTCAATCAATTTGCTTTACATTTACCTTGTATAATCTTTTCAAATGTCTATAAAAGTCTCATCTGTGTGTGGCTAGAAAATATCAATCACACATATCGTTTTTTTTTTTACTTTGATCTTAATTTGCATATTTCAAAGGCTAAGCACTTCTTTTAATCATTTGTTGAAAAAGAAACAGATTTAGACTCATTTTTGACGGTCATTTTTTCCGAGTTTCAGGTCCTATTGTGTATTAGTGTCATTTCTTATTTTTTGCATTATTCTCACAGAGAGAAAGTGTTTCAGAGAGCGAGTGAACAAGCGGGCGAGAGATTGTGTGGTCAGATCAGATGGCAGTTGCTATTCCAGAAGCTGTGGCCATGTAGGGCAGCGACTATAAACTACCAGAGGTAAAATGTCTATAAAAGTCTCATCTGTGTGTGGCTAGAAAATATCAATCACACATATCGTTTTTTTTTTACTTTGATCTTAATTTGCATATTTCAAAGGCTAAGCACTTCTTTTAATCATTTGTTGAAAAAGAAACAGATTTAGACTCATTTTTGACGGTCATTTTTTCCGAGTTTCAGGTCCTATTGTGTATTAGTGTCATTTCTTATTTTTTGCATTATTCTCACAGAGAGAAAGTGTTTCAGAGAGCGAGTGAACAAGCGGGCGAGAGATTGTGTGGTCAGATCAGATGGCAGTTGCTATTCCAGAAGCTGTGGCCA